CCCCCCCCACCGTTCCCGCCGAATCGCCGCGCCCCCCCCCCCCCGAGCGAGCGGCGCGGCGCGCCCCCCCCCGCGGCCCGCTGGGGGTGACCCCAAATTTGCTCCAATTTGCCCAAAATCGCCCCAAATCGCCCCAAAATCGCCGCCGTTCCTCCCCCGCCCCCCCACGCCGGACTCACGCGGCGGCGGCCGGAGAGCGCCCAGCTCCGGGCCACGCCCACCGCGCGCTCCCATTGGCCAGCGCTTCCCCGCCCGCGCGCGCCGATTGGCTGACTCCCCCTTAGTCCCGCCCCCTCGCGCTTCTCATTGGTTGTTCCCTCAGGGTTGCGTTCCCCTCCCGCCTTCCCGGGTCAGGGGCGGCGTGGACCACGCCCCTTCGGTGACGTTGCGCTGTGTGATTGGTTAAGACGCGAGTTGGCCCCGCCTTCGGGGGGTTCCTATTGGTTGGGGCGCGCGACCATAGAGGCGCCAAGGGCGCGCGCGGCGGAGCGGCCGCCGCCGGGCGCCGCCATCTTGGGGCGGGCGGCGCTGGAGGAACGTCGCCATGGCAACGGAGAAAGGGCGGGAAAGGCGCCGCGTGACGTCACTTCCGCCCCTCACCGCCGCTGTGGGCGGGGCGGGAGTGACGTCAGAGCGGTGCCGCGGATGACGTCACCGCGGATCATGGGGATTTTTTGGGGGGAATTTGTTTGGAATTCTGGGGATTTTGGGGGGGAAATTTTGGGGAATTTTAAAAGAATTTTTGGGGAAATGTCCCCAAAAGGTCCCAAAATGTCCCAAAATTTCCCCAAAACGTCCCAAATGTCCCCAAAATGTCCCCCCAATGTCCCAAAATGTCCCAAATGTCCCCAAAATGTCCCCCCAATGTCCCAAAATGTCCCAAATGTCCCCAAAATGTCCCCCCAATGTCCCATAATGTCCCAAAATGTCTCAAAATGTCCCCAAATCCCCTCCTGACCCCTCCCCCCACCGCGCCCCCAATTTTGGGTTGAAAACCCCCGAAAATCGCTCAAAAAACAGAAAAAAAAAGTCCCGAAAATCGGTTGGAAAATTCCTTTATTTGGGGCCGGATTTTGGGGAGAATTCCGCAAAATTTGGGGTCCCCTGGGAAGGATTTGTGGATGAATTTTGGGGTGAATTTGTCAAAATTTGGGGCGGATTTTGGGGTCCCTGGGTCCCATTTGGGGCCGATTTTGGGGTCGGGATTTGGGGCGAATTTGGCAGAATTTGGGGTGGATTTTGGGGCTGAATTTGTCAAAATTTGGGGCGGATTTTGGGGCTGAATTTGTCAAAATTTGGGGCAGAATTTGGTGGGAATTTGTCAAAATTTGGGGCAGATTTTGGGGTCCCCGGGTCCCATTTGGGGCAGAATTTGGGGCAAATTTGGCAAAATTTGGGGCAGAATTTTGGGGTCCCTGGGTCCCATTTGGGGCTGATTTTGGGGTCGGGATTTGGGGCAAATTTGTCAAAATTTGGGGCAGATTTTGGGGCTGATTTTGGGGCAAATTTGGGACGATTTTGGGGTCCCTGGGTCCCATTTGGGGCTGATTTTGGGGTCAGGATTTGGGGCAAATTTGGCAGAATTTGGGGCCGATTTTGGGGTCCCCTTGGGGTCAGGATTTGGGGCTGAATTTGGGGCCGATTTTGGGGCAAATTTGGCCGATTTTGGGCCGATTTTGGGGTCGCGAATTCGGCCGAATTTGGGGTCAGGATTTGGGGCCGATTTTGGGGCTGATTTTGGGGCGAATTGGGCCAAATTTGGGGCCGATGTTGGGCCTATTTTGGGGCGAATTGGGCCGAATTTGGGGCCAATTTTGGGGCTGAATTTGGGGCTGATTTTGGGGCGAATTGGGCCGAATTTGGGGCCGATGTTGGGCCGATTTTGGGGCCGATTTTGGGGCGAATTGGGCCGAATTTGGGGTCAGGATTTGGAGCCGATTTTGGGGCGAATTGGGCCGATTTTGGGGCCGATTTTGGGGCAAATTGGGCCGATTTGGGGCCGATTTTGGGGCCGATGTTGGGGCGAATTGGGCCGAATTTGGGGTCAGGATTTGGAGCCGATTTTGGGGCGAATTGGGCCGAATTTGGGGCCGATTTTGGGCTGATTTTGGGGC